ATAACAAAAAAAAAAAAAAAAAAAAGAAGAAGAAGAATGGCCCTAGAAACTCTCGTGTTTGTTTTAAATCGACTCGGTTTCACAGGCTCTACCTCCACGAATTTGGCTCATTGGCTCCGAAAGGCCCAAGCACCCACATTCTTAAAACACTTCACATATTTGGGGCTTACTGACCAGTCCACAGCCTCTATTTTTCTAGAAGAGAAAACAGAAACAGAGATGCAGTCACGTTCCCAAAGGCACAGAGCGTTCAAGGCAGAGATGAGCCCTCAGACCCTGAGCCCAGGGCAGAGGAAACCCCTGGATCAAAGAGACTTCCATACACCTGGTTCTCAGCTCCAGGTTCTCATATGTTAGAATTGAATTTTTAAAAAACTAGTAGCAAAAAAAAAAAAAAAAAACCTAGCATAACTGGACTGAGTCCCCTCTTTTATTTTTTCTTCAGCTGTCTTACTTAAAACAGCATGAGGCGGGCCTCCCCTGGTGGCTCAGTGGTTGAGCCCTGGATTGCAAAGCTGCCCCCAGCCTCTGCAGCACCAGTTCAATCCCTGGCCACCGGGTGAGGGTCCCACATGGCACGCAGACTGCTCCTGCCATGCCCGCTGCTCCCCTCAGCAGTCTGCCTGTTCTGTTCCCCGCTCTGGCTCTGGTGAATTCTCTTGCCCTCCCGCACTTCTGACTGTACCCAGTGCTTGTATAAATAAATAAATAAATCTAAAAAAAAAATAAACAAAACAGCATGAGGCCTGAAAGCGAAAGAATATGGTACAGAAGGAAAAGACAGGATTTTAATTCACATCTGTTGGCAAAATCCCATAGTATTTCTTAAAAAACAAACAAAAACAAAACCTCTTTAAAGTGATAAGAGAAGAATGAAACCCTTAAAGAGATAAACTTGTTGATAGGCAGACTATGCCCTAATATCCAATTTCCCATTAAACTTGAGATCCCAATAAAGGGCGGGGGTGGGGAGGGAGAGAATGGCCAGGAACACTGGTGTTTCTAGAGCCCACAGGCTGGACTGCCTTCGACGAGCTCTGGGTGGGAGTTCAATTACAGTCTTCGATGGGCCACAGGTCAGTGCCCTCACCGATTCCCACCAGGACCTGGTACATCATTGTTCAGCACTTACTCAGCTTTTGTGACGTTAACAATGAGAGGATACGGATAAGCCACAGGCTGACTCATAGAGGGAGCCGGGAATCATGGACCAGTCTGGTGAGTATTCCAGCAGACGCTGAGGAGGAACTGGAGGGAGGAAGGCTTCAGAAGCTGCCCCGTGACTGGCCTGCTGACCCCAGAGCTGGAGCAATCTGTCTTCTGTCTGGAACACTATCATTCTGACATCTGCAGCGATATGACTAATACCAAGGGCTTTCCCCTACCATGTCATCAATACTCACGATACAAAACCCAGATAAAAGTTGTCAGCCTCTGTGAGCAAGAGCACCCTCCCTTCAAACCCCCTGAACTAAGACTGCTCCCATTCATTCCCATGCGGACATGTGGTCTCAGACAGGTTTTTTAAATCTAAATCAGACCTGACCACGGCATTCCTTCACTCACTCACTCACTCACTCACTCACTCACTGACTCTCACACGAGATCTCTGAATCCCAACCATCAACAAGCAGAAACAAACTCTTTTTAACTAGTCAAGGAAAATTCCTCAGGGCACAGGAAATCAGTAAAAGGGGAAGAAAGGCAGAAAGGGCAGAAAGTGTGACAGCAATACCCAACGTGGTATGAAAGAGTTACACAGAGCAATTTACAAGCTCCCTGTGAAGTGTGTCACCAAGCACAAGGCCATCAGCTGACTGGGGTTTGGTGTTTTGTCTACGCACTTCATTCAACCTGCCCGACAGCAACATTCTCTTACGTGGTGTTAAAGCAGAAGGGTTTTCACACATTTCTACAAGAAGAACACAATGAAAAACACCCTCTTCACCAGTACGATCTGCATCAGACTTTCTTTTCATAACTTTTATTAAAATCTTCAGAATTCTTGGGTCTTTTGGCTTAGCATCTCTCTCTCTAAATCTGTGACTATTTTTGCATTTCTCAGTCAGTAATCCTAACTACTATAAAAAGTCTGGTAGTGAAATCAGTTGATTTATCTATGTAAAGAGGCTCATGAGGGAAAAGATTCTAGTTTCTGTACTTATTTTTTGGCCAAGCAACTACTACAAACAATTTAAGGATCCTTCTTTTTTAACAGAATTAGTTCATCCAAAAAGTAGGTACGTCAGCTTCATTCATTCATCTGCTCCTTCCATCCTGGTGATTCTAAAGCAGCACAAAGAATCGCTTCTGAATCCAGATTTCAAGATATGAAACTTAAAGCACCATTTACTCCGAAGTGCTTTGTTTCACTTCCTCTTCAGTGGGTGTAAGGTGTACTTTCAAAGACAAGGTTATGTCAAATTTTCTCTTGCCATCAGAGAAACAATGATTCATACATAAGCTTGGCAAATACTCCCAGATTACTCATCTATACCTAAAATGGTAGGAAAGTTTCAAAAATCAAGTTGTTTGCACCTTTTCTATGGTTGATATTTTAAGAAAGATTGGAAGTGATTTCTTAAGAATTATTCCATAGACACAGCATCACATTTCAGAGTTATTAAATTTGAATTCAGTCTTAGCATAAATTTCGTTTAATTGACAAGCCATTTAAAAGATGCCTCATCCAACAAGGTTTTTGTTGATTTTAAACCAAATGAACTCCACTACCTGTCATGCTAGAGATGAAGAAGGAAGGGAATGAAGATACAGATGTCAGACTTCTACTCTGGAATGTTTCACTGCACATGAGCCACGGGTAGGAAAATGAAAATGTTTCTTTCTGTACTGACCTGCATCATTTTTACAGTGGCCACTGTTAGGTACCCAACACAACTCCACCGTTTATTTGTGGAATCTTTCTCATCGTCATTGAATAATTGGAAATCATGGGTGGGGGGAAGGGGTGAGGAAACTATTTAGCAGTGTACCAGGCCAAGATGATCACCTAAAATTATTGATTTAAGATACCCAAGAGCAAAGAAGCAGTTGGAAGTCATACTTAGCTGAGCAGCACCTGACTTGGACAAACAGATAACTCGTGAGCACTTTGGAACCAGATCCTTATAGTAAGAGTTCCTGTCAATAATTCACTCTCCCCTTGAGACTGGCTCTGGTCCTAAAGAAACTCAGGAAGCGAAGCACAATACTGCAGATAACAAATAAGTTTTCAAAACTGTAGGAAGGGAAGGGGAAAGTGGACAAGGTCTCTTAAGACAACTGGTCCAACCAGATATGAATTCCAATGAATTGACAAGTACTTGCCATCACTGGACAAGATTCCCAAAAAACCTCAGCATTAAGAGAAGTAAATCTAAAGGAAGTTAAAGTAAGGAAAGGAGACAATGGATATGAAACGTGTTTGCTAAGTGTTGTTTACATAAAAAGGATTCAATCCTACCAAAGAACAGCAAGATCACTGAAAGAGAGAAGTAGATGCTGATACTACACATTCTAGAAGCTTAAAAAAAAAAATGGTGTGGTCCTGTATATTATTTTCTTACGTGGATACTATCCCCTCTCACCCCAAATACCTATTTGGGGAAATCTAGAATTGTATGAATGACACAAACAGGGACTACAGAAGGTCCTGATGTGAATCTTAGAATCACAGGGGAGGAAAGAATTTTTAGAATAATCTGAATCAACTACGTGATTTAACAGTTGAGAGTGAGACTCAGTGGTTATAAAGCCCTTGGGCAGTAAGGGGATAAAGATCAAGACTGGATAAAAGGAGTGTCAAGCCCCTCGCCTATCACTCAGCTGTCCTTTCTTGATAAGAAAGAGATAAAAGCAAACATAAAAGTGAAATTCTTATCGGAACACTCAGTTGTGTTTTTCTAATGCACCACATCATTCACTACCTCTTCACTTCAAGTAGATCTCTTTTAGTGGACAGCATGTGATCAAACACCCCTAAAATGATCTCCTAAAAAGTTCTCCCTAACTCTCCAATTATTAGGCTTTTAAGCTGGAGTAGACTATATACCATATTCTTACATTTCTACTAAAGAAAAACATTTTTACAGGACAGAAGATATCACCTGATTATTTTTAACCAACCAAGAAATATACTTACAGGGAAGTTTCTGAGATGTTAATTTTGGGGAAAAAAAAAAACAGCAATAAGGGGGAAAAATCCATTAAACAAATTGACAAACTTACTTTTTCACTAGCCACGAGAATCACAAATAACCTCTGGCTCTCCTTATTATCTATTCACATGAGAGTTTGGAATGAAATGCAATTCTCAAAGGATTTTTCCTTTTCATTTGTCTGCTATAAAATTCTTTACAGTGTTTCAATTAATAGCCGTTAATGAAATCAATGAATTCTTCCACAATAAAGCAGTCAACCTAAAAGAATACAGCAACTTTCACGCTCTTCCATTTAGATAAAGTCCATTACTAAAATTCGTCTGTCAAAACCCTATTCCTCCCCTGAAAAGAATTTTCCAGGAGAGGAAGGCAGGTCTCTGGAGCTCACCACGCCACCACCTCCAGCCGAAAAAGCACAGCCATCCCACCACCACTCAAAGCAAGAAGTGAGATGCCCCGGTCCGGTCTACCAGCTGCGGGGAGACTGCAGGATGGCCCTCCTGTGTCCCTGATGGTCACTGTGAAAAGCTCTGTTTAAGCTTCAACGCGGGACAAGGATACAACCATTTCTTGCGAGGTGGCTCCAGTAGGAGTCATGAAAAAAGTGAAGAGAGCAGATGGGTAATAGAATGGAAACAGTCACAGAAAAAATTACCCAAGCCTACACCTTTTTCTATAAAGGAAAGGGCTGTCTCTGCTTCCCACCCACCACCCAGCACCTCTTACTGAGAAGCAGTTTCGGGAAACTACGTTCAGAGCAATACAATTTAATCCGTTTGGTAGGCAGCGAATGAAACAAAAGTGTCTCTGAGGTTGTGAAATAGAAGGAAAGTTGCAAACCTGTGGTCGAGTTCCGCGCGATCAGTGCCCCATCCTACCCGGGCACGTTTTCCAATCTTTGCGCATAAAAGTGTCTTGTAAGTCCTGCTCACGCAGCCGGCACCCAGCCCGCCCCCCGGCCAGGGCGCAGTAGTGGCTGAGCCGCCGCACATGCCAGCGGTGGAGGCTTCTTCCCGCCTGTCCTGACTATCAGCATGGACCAGGCGCAGATGCTGAAGGTCCTCTGTTGCTCAGGGATGGTCCACAGTGACCCGACAGTCTAAGGATCCTGTCACTTCCTCTACGGAAGGTGAGGCAAGCTCTCTGGCAGCAGAGAACTAATTTCCTCTTTCAGAAGTTAAAAAAAAAAAAAAAAAGGAACATTCATTTATTACGTAAATTAAGCCCACCAATGATTTAGGAAGTTGGATGCCTTCATCATGTTATAAAACATGCTCTCAGCAAACCCATTATAAACACAGACAAATCAAATCCTACTTTCCTAAGCTTGCAAAAGAAAACACTCAACAGGTTGAGCAGCGTGGACTGACTCACTCCATCTGTGCTCCCCAGTTGGAGATTATGCAGGAGTCAAGTCATTGGTCACAAGACCTATTCATGGGCAGAAGCAGTGACTTGCCTTCAGCTGCAAGGTTGTTCTGACATTGGCCACACCACCCTCTTAATGGCTCTCATGTGAGCAAGAGTCAGCTGACAGGTCTTACTCTGCAACCTTGCAAAACTCCATCCATGGGAGTGAGAGAGAAGCACCCACAGACGGGCCAATGGAGGACTTCACATATTGGAGGGGATGTGGGGGAGGAAGAATAGGGTACATCGTTGCTTAAATATACATATATAGTATATATGTGAACAATAATAACAATAAATAAAATAAGCCATAAACGCTCCAACTCTGGGCATCTATTCTAGCTGAGAGAGCCCTGTGCTCTCAGCGCCCAAGGATAAAAAGCTGTTCCATTTTTTTTCTTTTCTTTTCTTTTTTGTTAGCTTTTACTTCTGACACTAACATGCTCCATTTGTAAGATGAAAATGCTGAAGAATTGATATAATTTTTCCAAAGTACTGTGAGTTCCTAGAAACAAAATTTCGTTTAGAAGGGGGAAAAAAAAAAGCATAGGTCCCTAAAAACAGGTCAAATCCTGAAACAAAAAGTAAGAGACTGTCCCAACTCCCTTTCTCCTTCCTCATCCTTGGATTTGATTAGAGAAAATATTAACAGAGCTCTCAAATCTGATAAGCCCTTGTTTGTCTGGGTCTCTGGCCTCAGGAAGGTTTAAATGTATTTTTTATGCAGCAGTCCTATCTTTCACTCCGTGAGAAAACCTAATGATGTCATAGCAAAGGTCTCAATTAACGTGAGATGTTATTACACATGTGACCCTGCAGTTCCTCCATAACAAGCCCCAAAAAGATCCTCAAACCGCTCTCCTCTGAGAAATAAAGGCAGCGCCACACCTACCACAATGGCCACACTTCACTGGGGCTAAGCTGATGGTGCCAACAGAAAGCCAGGTTAGGAGGGAATCAATTAAGGGGAACACATTTGGAGCTTAAAGTATTTGAGCTCAGCACTCCACAGCCACAGTGTGATCGTGGGTTTTTCTTTTCCTTTAAACTATGTTCAAAATCACTCCCTCTTGTTAACTGAGAATCAGGTCACTTATGCAAGCCCTGTGGTTTTTCCATGGGGCAGCTCACTTAAGCACAGCTGAAGGGAGAGTCTCCTTTCAATATCTTCATCTATCCACCTGCAGTTGAATATGTTGACGGGAACAGCTGCTAGCACCACAAAGACTTTCACATCATTTTTCATCTTTGCACAATGTATGCATTTTCATTTTGGTTATATTCCCCATACAATTCCCACCCCTCTTATTTTGACCCTAATCTCTTCTTTTCCCCCACCCCCACCCCGTAGGGTGTCTGGTTTATAGTTGCTTATTGATTTTGATTTTTTCTTTATTATAATTAGTCTTTTTTCTGGTCCCTTATTTAGGTTTTCTAAATTCTTAATCTTCAGTCTAGGTACTAAGTGGCCAGAGAGAAGAGTCATGGACTAAGCAGCACTCAGATTAGCAAATATCAGGACACCAGTCCAGTCTGTTGCCTCTGGCCAAAGCCTCTAATCAACCAGATCCCATTTCCTGTTGTGTCTAACCTCTTCCATCCTAATTAAAGTAGGAAGGATTCCAGGTAAGTATTTTTGCATTTTTGCATTCCTTTATCTCCTGTTCCCTTATCACTCCTTGGGTGATTAAAAAAAACAGTGAGAGCTGTATGGGGGTTTTGGTTGATGTTTGTTTTTGGTTTTTCAGGGGAAAGCACAAACACCTGTAAATTAGGCAGTGGCGTGCCTTACATTTGGGGGAATCGCAGAGGTGGGCCAGTCCATGTGGAGTGTGGTGGATGAGCCTCGCCCAGGGAAAACCACCTTCCTGAACATGGTTTTCCCCTGCCAGTTAAGTATGTGATCACTGTATGGAATGAAAAACATTTTTTCTTTAAAGATTTATTTATTTATGCTTACGAGAGCTAGTGCAGGCCAGAGGTGCGGGGGCGAGGGAGGGGGAGAGTGAGAGGATTCACCCGAGATAGATGGGAGCAAACAGCGTGGATTGACTGAAATACACTGCTGAGGGGAGCAGCGGACAAGACCGGAGAGGTCTGCTGTGCCATGTGGGTAGCTCCCTGGCCAGGGCTCAAACTCGTGCTGCAGTGGCTGCCAACAGCAGCCACCAGAGAGGCCTCCTGGAATGAAAATTTAACTCAATTGAGAGAGGTGGGTTTGCAGAGGAAAAAACTCAAAGGTCTAACGAGCACCTCCCCACCAAAGTTCAGCCTGATTATTCTCAGCCAATGGATCTTTCTAGAAAGAGTCTTTCCCTGCTTAATCACATTGCTGTAATGAGAAAACAGGAAGAGTGAAAGGAAGAGGGGCAGGGTCCAGGGTTCTCTCACGGAGGTTCTTCCACTGGTGTAGGGTAAAGAAAATGTCAGGCTTTTCTGCCCTTCCGCCATCAGGATAGATGACGGATCCTTGTCCTGAATGCATGCCTGATGGCGGACACCTGGAATAGGGTGTGGGCATAGGTAGATGGGGTTCAGCTGAGCTAAGACTGTGCTTTTAAGGGCGGCGTCACGGGGACGCCAGCAGCAGCAGCAGCAGCAGAAGCCGAGGTAGAAGCCCAAAGAGAAGCCGAGAAGCAGCAGAACGAATGCCAGAGAAGCCCAGATAAAGACTTGCTGATAAAGACAGCCCAGATAAAGGCTGGCAGGCCTCCCAGCCCCCTAGCCAGCACCCCTGCCTGCCATATGCCTGGTGAACCCCAATAAAAGACCTGCAAAAACCCACTAAGGACTCTGACTCCTCCTTTACCCGGTCTGCATGGGATCAGAAAACCTGCACTGTGGCCAGTCCTGACTTTACAATTGGCGTAAGTCGGCAAGATCCATGCAGACGGGTACTGGAGCCCTCCGAAGACCTGGAGGGACTAAGGAGTAAAAGACTGCCTGTGACGACGCTGGAGGCGCCATGGCGGTACAGAAGATGGATACATCCATGAGCTACTGGACGAGACCTGGCGTGAAGGAGACGCCCGAGAGAACCAGCCAATGACACCGGAAAGGACCAGCCAATGACACCGGAAAAGACCAGCCAACGACACTGGAAAGGACCAGCCAACGACACCGGAAAGGACCAGCCAATGACCCCTGAGGCAGCAGGCCGCTGCTGACGCAGGGAGAGGCCAATGGACTTGACCTCATGGACTGATAAACTTGGACTGACAATCCCGCCAGAAGGCGGAGGACCTTGCAGGTTGATATGTTTTGGGACCCTGGGGGTGGAACAGTTTTGTTTGTAAACCCCAGGAGATGGAAATCTGGGGGTGGCCAGTGGGCCTAGATGGCCAAAAGCAGCCTGTTATGCCCAGCAGCCAGGTGGAGGAGAAAACCAAGAAGGCAAAAGCTGGTACTGATGCTAAGTTGAGAGGCCGTAAGCGGCCTGAGTATGCTGAAGAACTGGGAGTCTCGTAAAATCACCTGTGGGTGATGCCCTGCTCATTCTTGAGTGAGGGTGAGGAGCTGAGGAACCTGTCCTTGGGGGACGGCTGAGGAACGTGGCTTGGGGTGGAGCCCAAGCCACATGTAGAGTTTTGATCTCCGATCCATGTGCTTGTGCAGTGGGTTGGCTTGAGTGCAGGGGTCTGCGAGTCGCATTGGTGGCCATGAAGGCCGAGTGTTGGAGTGACTGCAGACAGAAACCCTGAGGGTTGGCGATTACCCCCAACAGAATAAAATTGCCAATCCCAGAGCTAGTGCATCCTGGGGGTGGATGCTGTGTGTGGTTTGTAGCCGAGACTACAGCCAGAGAAGGCCAGGAAGCCTGACGGCTCCTGGTATGTTATAGCAGATGCCGTGTGTGATTTCCCCTCCCTCGTATGAGCAGTGCCTTCGGCAGCAGATTTGGTGGCTCATCTGCTGGTACCAATAATTGTCTTTTGCGCTAGGTTGGTGCCCTGCCTGGACTTATTTGTGTTCTGTTGTATTTTATTGTATTTTGTAATATTTGATGTATTTGCTTTTGTGGGCCATGGCTGCATTGTTTGTTTGTTTAGAAAATTGTATATATATGTATAGACTGTATGGCAGAAAACCCTGAGGGGGTGGACTGTAGGGTAAAGAAAATATCAGGCTTTTCTGCCCTTCCGCCATCAGGATAGATGATGGATCCTTGTCCTGAATGCATGCCTGATGGCGGACACCTGGAATAGGGTGTGGGCATAGGTAGATGGGATTCACCTGGGCTAAGACTGTGCTTTTAAAGGCGGCATAACAGGGTCGCCAGCAGCAGCAGTAGGAGCAGCAGCAGAAGCCGAAAGAGAAGCCGAGAAGCCCAGATAGAGTAAAGACTTGCTGGGGGCTGGGAGGCCTGCCAGCCTCCCAGCCCCCCAGCCAGCACCCCTGCCTGCCATATGCCTGGTGAACCCCAATAAAATACCTGCAAAAACCCACTAAGGACTCTGACTCCTCCTTTACCCGGTCTGCATGGGATCAGAAAACCTGCACTGTGGCCAGTCCAGCCTTTACAACTTGCCTTTCCACACACAAGAACCCCAGTCACAGACTGTCCACCAGGTGTTCCAATCGTAGTCTCCAGGAGACACAAAAAGGTTATAAGGTAAACATTTACCTTGTGAACAAGCAGCAGGCAGAAAACATACTTTTTTGTCCGTATACTATAGTTCAATACAAAGGGTGAAAAAGGCCCTCATGCCAGGCTAGGACAAGTGGACCAAGGCAAGGGG